TTGAAGCACAGAACTGATGGGCATATAAATTAGTTTGGGCGACAATGTTCCCCAATACATCATCGCCCAGAAACTCCTCCATAAACAGCTGGGGGCTAAATCCTGCGACATCCAAATTGGTGCCAGGATTTGCGGTGATGGGTGGGATATCTGATCTCTGGCAATGAGGCGCTACCCACTCAGCAGCACTGCCAGCTGGAGCAGCACGTCTAATTCTGGCATGGGGCCTAGCAGCCCCAGATACAACACTAGATACATCACTAGCAGCAGACCCTGTATCTAGTGATGTATCTGAGCACCTGGTAGGGTCAAAAGTCAGGGTCAGAGTCAGACGTAGACGAGTAAGACTCTAATGCAAGGATGTCATACGCCTCCTCAGCATGACAACCTCTGTGACATGATCACAATCACTTTATTTAGTGATATCTCACTCAAAATAAACCCCATAAAAAAATGCACAGACCGCAAAATAAGTGCTGCTGTGCAAGAGCCAGTGATCTATACAGTGATCACTGGCAGAGAGCCTTTGGGTCTTACAATTTTTCAAATCCCTATCTAAAACTACCTAAATCTCTACTTAAATCACAGATTTCTCTCTCTCTCTCTCCCGCTCTCTCTCCCGCTCTCTCGTGAAGAGAGGGAGCGAGATGCACACTGATCAGAGTTAATATTTACTAATGTAACAGAGCTCCCTGTACCCCTGGCTGGGTACCTCCGACAAGGACCACTTCCTAGCTGGAACAGGGGACAAACCACAGCACTTCTTTCCACAGTCGCCGAGGCTTGACTGGGGTCCTGGAGCCAAATGGGGAATTTGCTGTCAGTCCTGGGAGTTCTAGTCCTTACAAGGACTTTCTCCGTTAAATCCTCCACACTGGAACAGTGATTAAAGAGTAGCCTTTTCCCCTCCCAGTAACCAGACGACACATAGTTCTCAGAGTACAAGCTGGAATACGTTTGCCAGCCACAACTGGCAACCCCCCTGGCAACCCACCCTGGACCTGAAAGACTACAGTAAAAACATACTTTACATGCGATTACATTGGCTCTCAGGTCCAGGACAGGTCCAGGACACTCCCATACAAAACAAGATAATCCCTCCTCTGTGCTTGGGACATCATTGAATCAGAAACTGTACAACTCAATTATCTCCAGGCACAAAAAACACACTTCCCAAACACCCCAAAAGTAACTTAAGATTACATATGTGACCAACATATCCAAAAATCACCCAGATTGGTTCAGGGGTTCAGGAATTTCCTGGAAGTCCTAATTTGACCAACCGCACATATGGTCCCATGCCCAAAACAGTTCCAGAGAATCAGGGCTTGTGGTCGGTCTAGTTTGGTAGTTTAAAAACTAACAAACTACGAACATAGTCAATATTCTTAAGGAGAGAAAAAAAGGGTAGCAAGAGAGGTGAGGACGGACAACAGCTCAAATAGCTTGCCCTTCGGTGGGTCCCCGCTCAGATCTCAAACAGGTTTTAGCTCAACTTGTGCTAATACAGAAAGAACATCTATGAAGCATATCAGACTGGTCCCACCCAGACTGGTCCCACCCATATGGGCAGTCCAGATCGGAAATGAAGTTCCCTCTGCACGAGCGATTTGGCATCCCCCGGCGATCGTTTCAACCTTGTAAGGTATCATCAGTGAGCCTCTTGGGCCCCGATTCTTTTGCTCTCCATAAGTTTAAAGTTTAATTCAGACGTGGACCCCTTGCTCACGGTGCCTAGAGAGAGATCAGCTATGCCTCACAGCTAACAAGGCTGAAACGATCGTCTGGGGTTGCTTTGTCTCTCGTGCAGAGGGAACTTGCTGGCATTTCCATTAACAGATTTATTTAACCAATCATTGTTAACAGGAGTAGTCCCAGAAGATTGGAAGTTAGCGAATGTGCCCATTCACAAGAAAGGTAGTAGGGAGGAGTCGGGCAACTATAGGCCAGTAAGCCCTACTTCAGTAGTGGGGAAAGTAATGGAAACCATGTTAAAGGATAGGATTGTTGAACATCTAAAAACACATGGATTTCAAGATCAGAGACAACATGGGTTTACTTCAGGGAGATCATGCCAAACTAATCTTATTGATTTTTTTGATTGGGTAACTAAAATAATAGATCAGGGTGGTGCAGTAGACATTGCTTACCTAGATTTCAGTAAGGCTTTTGACACTGTTGCACATAGAAGGCTTATCAATAAATTGCAATCTTTAAGTTTGGATTCCAATATTGTTGAATGGGTAAGGCAGTGGCTGAGTGACAGGCAACAGAGGGTTGTAGTCAATGGAGTATATTCGAAGCATAGGCTTGTCACCAGTGGGGTACCTCAGGGATCTGTACTTGGACCCATTCTCATTAATATTTTTTATTAGTGATATTGCAGAAGGTCTTGATGGTAAGGTATGTCTTTTTGCTGATGATACTAAGATATGTAACAGGGTTACATAGAAACATAGATGTTTGATGTTCCAGGAGGGATAAGCCAAATTACAAATGATTTAGGTACACTAGAAAAATGGTCAGAGTTGTGGCAACTGACATTTAATGTGGATAAGTGCAAGATAATGCATCTTGGACGTAAAAACCCAAGGGCAGAGTATAGAATTTTTGATAGAGTTCTAACCTCAACATCTTAGGAAAGGGATTTAGGGGTGATTATTTCTGATGACTTAAAGGTAGGCAGACAATGTAATGTGAAATGCCAGCAGAATGCTTGGTTGTATAGGGAGAGGTATTAGCATTAGAAAGAGGGAAGTGCTCATGCCATTGTACAGAACACTGGTGAGACCTCACTTGGAGTATTGTACACAGTACTGGAGACCCTATCTCCAGAAGAATATTGATACTTTAGAGAGAGTTCAGAGAAGGGCTACTAAACTGGTTCGTGGATTGCAGGATAAAATTTACCAGGAAAGGTTGAAGGATCTTAACATGTATAGCTTGGAGGAAAGACGAGACAGCGGGGATATGATAGAAACATTTAAATACATAAAGGGAATCAACACAGTAAAGGAAGAGACTATATTTAAAAGAAGAAACACTACCACAACAAGAGGACATAGTCTTAAATTAGAGGGGCAAAGGTTTAAAAATAATATCCGGAAGTATTACTTTACTGAGAGGGAAGTGGATGCATGGAATTGCCTTCCAGCTGTAGTGGTAGAGGTTAACACAGTAAAGGAGTTTAAGCATGCATGGAATATGCAATAGGCTATCCTAACCGTAAGATAAGGCCAGGGACTAATGAAATGATTTTTAAAAATTGGGCAGACTAGATGGGCCGAATGGTTCTTATCTGCCGTCACATTCTATGTTTCTATTTCGGATCTGGACTGCCTGTATGGGTGGGACCAGTCTGGTATGTTTCAGAGATGTTCTCTATGTAATGGCACAAGATGAGCTAAAACCAGCTTGATATCTGAACGGGGACCCACCAAAGGGCAGGCTCGTTCAGCTGCTGCCCGTTCTCAGTAAACTCTTGCGCCCCGTTTTTTTGTAGTCTATATTCTTACCCTTGAGCTTGTTCCCCTTGTTCCACCGAACAATGTCTTTCTAAGTGTTGTAGATCCGAACGCAGGCGATTATGGAAGTCCAGTGGTGTTCGGGAGCTTGTGTTCATGCGAACAACATGGCTGCCACCTCGTGGTTGTCCATAGGAATTGCGGCCACCCAGACGAACACTTAGAAAACTGCGTTGGAAATTGCCACAAAGTAACAAATAGGCTTAACCAAACTGCAGGGTGGTCTCTGGTTCTTGCGGCTGTTCAGTTCCCGAACCATATAGTCCAAATACACGAACGGAGACTTTAACAGTACATTTTTACAGGGTCCATAGTCTGTGGGCAGGATGCTGGTAAACGGGGTTCTCCAGGAGCTCGTGGCAAACTCACTTGGAAACTGAAGTTTTTCACAACGATTATTGACCTGATTAGACAAATGGGGATCATAGTTATAATAAAATTGTTATAGGGTCAAGCTCTGATTGGATGACCCTAGCCTGCCTCTATAATGAAGCCACATGACTGGGGGGACGGGGACCCCTCATATGACTTTGGGGAGGGGGGACCCCTTGAGGCACTCAGCCTGCCCGATTGTTTCAGATGCTCTGTGTAGTGGAGAGCTGCTACCACACAGGCTAAATCCGCTGTAGATCCCAGTATGGCTCAGGAACAAGCAATAAGCCCAGGCACAGTACCAACATTGAGAGAATAATCCAGCAGTATAACAAGCACAATCAGCAGTAAAATCCAATAGTATCCCATCACCTTTCCCAATAACTGGACGACACACAGTATCAGGAGCAGAACTCGACTTTAATCAATCAACCCCTGCTTTTATGCAATGCTCCCATGCAAGGGAGACACCCACAATAATTAGTACAGTAACCAATAATATTACAGTAACCACCCACCATTCTCATCCCCTCAGATAAGCATTTAACATAATTAACAAGTACACACTTTTCCCTGAGTTTTAGATGTACCCCAAATACCTAGGGTACACCCTTAAATCTGGTATCCCCTGATCTGATGGAGGTTTAAAGTTTTGACCGACCGCACAGGCAACAGTAGCCGAAAATAGTTCCATAAGTTTTGGCCTTGCAGTCGGTCTCTTTTCATGTTTTAAAAGTCCCGAAATACATGCCATCCAGTGTTGATAAATCCCTTAGTGTGAGAGAGTCTTTACCGAATTGGGAGGTTAATTGAAGTCACACTTATGCATCAAGGTGGTCTGATGTTCGGTAGTTTGTGTTCGTATGGTGAATGAAGTATTTCAGTACAGTGTATGGGAACAATTAGACGAACGTTTTAATTCACACAAAAGTCTATGGGGAAAACAGTCAGGCGGATTTTGCTACTCTCTGCTACACTGCTAGGTGCCATGTGGGGAAATGATTGACTATGTTTTGGAACTGTTTATTTATAAAGCAACCTTAATCAGTATGTAACTTTTCTAAATCATTGTCCAAAAAAATATATATTTTTTAATGTTATTACAGCTGAAGGATTACTGGAAGGCCCTGTGAAAGATTTAAAAACTGGAATCTTGGCTACCGAGAACTTAATGGAAAAAAGTGAAACACAGATGACAAAACCTGAAGGTATTTTCACCTTTCTTTCTTTATCTTTGTGATTTCGTTACATTTAGATGCATACCTATGTTAATGGAAAAAATATAATTTAAACTTTTTTTTTTTTCCTTGGATAATCCTTCAGTTCTCTAACTCTAGCTCTTGAGTCCTCTGAGTCTCTTTTTCCCTGATCTCATCTCTGCAGTACTCCTGTATGAATAAGTTGAGTTTGACTGCTTCAGCTCCATAATAAATGCTTCTGCTGCTACAACATGTGCCTACTACTCTTGATTCTTTTACTGCAGATGCAATAAGGAGTCTTTAAATATCTTGCTGATTTGACACTGTGCTGTGATATGGTTTTACATCTTATCATTTAACTAACTTTCTAGCTTTAGCTTTCTAGTGAAATTAATCCGAATTAGAACGTAACTGAAATCATAAGATATCAATGAAGAGACCGTAATTAGTACACTAAATACATTGTGCTCAAGGTTAAAGCAGCAGGATAGTGGTAGATTACCACAACAGCTCTCAGTATGGTCAATATGTGGTTGTAATATAGAGTCAAGAAATAGCTGAGATTAAAACTGTCCGAATCAGTTTACTCATAGAGTTGCATAGTGTTGCATCAATAGCTGCAGTGTGGACAGAATTGTTATACTCAATGACAGCCCCAGTCAGCGGGACTTCACAATTTTTTGTATTAGCCACAGCATAATGTGATGGCAGATAAGAACCATTTGGCCCTTCTAGTCTGACCAATTTTCTAAATACTATAATTAATCCCTGGCCTTTATTTTAAGCCTAGGATAGCCTTATATTCCACGCATGCTTAACCCCTTAAGGACACATGACGTGTGACATGTCATGATTCCCTTTTATTCCAGAAGTTTGGTCCTTAAGGGGTTAAACTCCCTCACTGTGTTAACCTCTACCACTTCAGCTGGAAGGCCATTCCATGCGTCCACTACCTCCTCTGTAAAGTAATACTTCCTAAAATTGTTACCCCTTTTGCCCCTAAATTTAAGATTGTCCTCTTGTTGTGGTCGTTATTATTCTTTTAAATATCGCCTTCATTTCTTTGTTGATTCCTTTTATGTATTTAAAGGTTTTTATCATATCCCCCCGTCTCGTCTTTGCTCCAAGCTATACATGTTAAGATCCTTTAACCTTTCTTGGTAAGTTTTATCCTGCAATCAATAAACCAGTTTAGTAGCCCTTCTCAGAACTCTTTCCAAAGTATCAATATCCTTCTGAAGATACGGTCTCCAGTACTGTGTACAATACTTCAAGTGAGGTCTCACCAGTGTTCTGTACAATGACATGAGCACTTCCCTCTTTCTACTGCTAATACCTCTCCCTATACAACCAAGCATTCTGCTAGCAGTTCCTGCTGCTCTATTACACTGTCTGCCTACCTTTAAGTCATCAGAAATAATTACTCCTAAATCCCTTTTCTCAGATGTTGAGGTTAGTAGGGTATCAAATATTCTATATTCTACCCTTGGGTTTTTACGCCCAAGATGCATTATCTTCCACTTATCCAAATGAAATGTCAGTTGCCACAGTTTTTGACCATTTTTCTAATTTACCAGCATCACTTGCCATTTGGCTTATCCCTCCTGGAACATCAATCCTGTTTGCAAATGTTAGTATCATCAGCAAAAAGACATACCTTACCACCTTCTGCAATATCACTATTTAAAATATTAAAGAGAATGGGTCAAAGTACAGATCCCTGAGGTACTCCATTGGTAACTAGACCTAGATTTGAATATACTCTATTGACTACAACCCTCTGTTGCCTGTCACTCAGCCACTCCCTCACCCATTCAACAGTATTGAAATCCAAACTTAAAGATTGCAGTTTATTGATGAGCCTTGTGGCCTGTGTCAAAAGCCTTACTGAAATTTAGGTAAACAATGTCTACTGCACCACCCTGATCTTTTATTTTAGTTACCCAATCAAAAAATCTATAAGATTACTTTGGCATGATCTCCCTGAAGTAACCCCATGTTGTTTTTGATTTTGAAATCCATGTAATTTTAGATTTTCAACAATCATATCCTTTAACATGGTTTCAATATTAATATCCTTTAACAGCTTTTAATACTGTTAGGAAAGAACTGTATGCAGGGACGGACTGTCCACTCGGGCTGTTCAGTCATCCGAGGGCCCAAGGCAGTCAGGGTTCCAGCCGCCTGAACAGCTATACTCTGACTGGGAGATCAGCGATCTCCCCAACTAGAAAAACATAATTAAATACATAAGACAAGGTAAGGTTGCAGGGCCTCTTACTACAACCTACTGCACTGTAAGTGTCCCTATCCTCCCCTTTCTCAGTGAAACCTGGTGTTCTGTGGGAGTTCTGGCTGCCAGGTTTCCTCCTCCTGTGTTGTGCTCTCTGTGAATTTGTGTATCAAATCAGTGAGTGTGTTTGTCAGTGAGTGTGTCTGTTTAGATGACCGGTCCCCCTCCAATCACATGGGAAAGGTGTTTTTACTCATCTTTTTTCAACATGCCGTGCCAGTCTCACTGCATTCATGGCTGAGATCATCATCAAAGTTGATTATAGGAAAGCATTGGAAGGCTATGTATTGCAAAACGCCACACTTCGCCAATCATCATCTCCTCATAGAGATGCATTATTATTATTTATATAACGCCATCAGATTCCGTAGCTCTATACAATGGGTGGACTAACAGACATATAATTGTAACCAGACAACTGGACGTACAGGAACAGAGAGGTGGAGGGCCCTGCTCAATGAGCTTACATTCTAGAGGGAGTGGGGTATAGTGACACAAAGGGTAAAAGTAGGGGTATGAAGTAGGTTGTTAGAAAATTACTTAGTAGGGCTTAGTAGGTAATTTTGACAGTTGCAGGAGAGGAGTCATGGGGGTGGGGGATAAAAACCTGCTAACAGTTTAATTGATATGCTTTCTTGAAGAAGTGAGCTTTCAATGATTTTTTTGAATGGAGTGGAGACTAGAATTTGAGTGGAGACTGGATGAAAGTCTTATGGAGAAGGGAAAGGAGTTCCACAGAGGAGGTGCAGCCCTGGAGAGGTGGGAGTACGGACAGAGGATATACGTAAGTCTTTGGCAGAGCATAAAGGCCTCGACGGGACATACTTTTGTATTAGGGAGGATAGGTAGGTTGGAGCAGCATTATGTAGGGATTTGTGAGCAAGCACCAGAATTTTAAATTGAGCCCTATATCTAGCTGGAAGCAATGCAGGGACTGACTGAGAGGGGATGCATGGGTGGTGCGAGCGTACAGGAAAATTAGTCTCGCCACCGCATTCATTATAGATTGCAGCGGTGCAATCTGGGAACACGTAAGTCCACTGAGAAGGGGATTGCAGTAGTCAAGGCGAGAGACAACAACCGCATGGACCAGCTCCTTAGCTGCATCTGGCGTTAAATAGGGGCGGAGGCGCGCTATGTTTTTGAGATGCAAGCGACAGGATTTGGCGACTGATTGGATATGAGGGGTGAAGGAGAAGTTGTAATCAAAAAGAACACCCAGGCAACGAGCCTGCAAGGTAGAGGTGATGGTAAGGAGACAGACAAGGGATATTAACGCTTGAGGGAGGAAAGACCACAAGTTCTGTTTTGGACAGGTTGAGTTTAAGGAAGTGAGCAGCCATCCAGTTGGAAATTGCAGAGAGGCAGTCAGAGTCACGAGTCAAGATGGGTGGAGAGAGATCAGGGGTGGACAGGTAGATTTGTGTGTCATCTGCATAGAAATGATAACGGAAGCCAAAGGAGCTGATGAGTTTACCAAGGGAGGTGCTATAGATAGAGAACAGTAGGGGACCAAGGACAGAACCTTGGAGGACGCCAACAGAGAGTGGTTGGGGGGAAGAGGCAGAGTCAGAGAAAGAAACACTGAGAGAGAGTGCTGGGAGAGGAAGGAGGAGCACCAGGACAGAGCAGTATCCCTTAGACCAACAGCTTCTCCGCATTCCCCATAATTTTGATGATCAACAGTGTCAAAGGCAGCAGAAAGATCAAGGAGACAGAGTTGCCAACAGAGTGGAGGGATTACTGGGAGGGGCTGGTGATGACTCAGCTGTCCTGGTCCATGCTGGTACCAATGACAAAGTCAGAGGAAAATGGAAGGTCCTAAAGAATGAGTTCAGGGAACTAGAAAGTATGCTAAAGAAAAGGACCTCCAAGGTAATATTTTCAGAAATATTACCTGTGCTGCACGCTACAGCAGAAAGGCAGCGGGAGATTAGAGAGGTCAATGCGTGGCTGAAGTCTTGGTGCAGGAAAGAGGGTTTGGGGTTTTTAGAGCACTGGGACGATATTGCCTAAATGGAAGAGGGTTTGCTGTGCTGGGGGATAGGATGGCTAGAAGGTTGGAGGAGATTTTAAACTAGTGGTAGGGGGGGAGGGTCAAACCAGTCTAGAAAATGGAGATAGGATAGAAACAAAGGGGGTGGAGATGGGGGAGGGGAAAGCTCAGAACAGAGGAGGTATGTAATATTGATAATGTACAAAAAGTACAAATGACTCATGATAATATTAAATGTATGCTTACTAATGCAAGGAGCCTATATAACAAAATGGGGGAACTAGAGGCAATAGCATACACTAAACAATATGATATAATAGGCATAACAGAAACATGGTGGGATGAGACACATGACTGAGCAGTTAAATTAAATGGGTACATGTTATTTAGGAAGGATAGGAAAAACAAGAAGGGTGGTGGGGTATGTTTGTATGTCAACGAAGAGTTAAAGTCAAATCTTAGGCATGTGGAGTGTGACGAGGAAAATGTGGAAGCTCTATGGGTAGATATCTGCTTACAAAGGGAAATCAATTATTGGTTGGAAAATGTTATAAACCGCCTAATGTAAATATTAATGAGGAAGAACGGCTGTTAGAGCAAATTGGGAAAGCTGCAAATCGGGGTAACACGTTAATTATTGGAGATTTTAATTACCCGGACATAAATTGGGATAGAGGGACTAGTACTTCAGCAAGGGGAATCAGGTTTTTAAATGTGTTAAATTACACCTTTACATAGAAACATAGACTGTGACAGCAGATAAGAACCATTCGGCCCATCTAGACTGCCCAATTTTATAAAATACTTTCATTAGTCTCTTATATCTAAGATAGCCTTATGTCTATCCCACGCATGCTTAAACTCCTTCACTGTATAAACCTCTACCACTTCAGCTGGAAGGCTTTTTCATGCATCCACTACCCTCTCAGTAAAGTAATACTTCCTGATTAGTGATGTCCCTAACTGTTCGCCGAACGGTTCGCGAACGGTTTGCCACGAACGGTTCGTTGCGGACTCATCATTGAGTAAACTTTGACCCTGTACCTCACAGTCAGCAGACACATTCCAGCCAATCAGCAGCAGACCCTCCCTCCTCCTCACAGCTCACTAAGGATGCAGCTTCACAGTGGATGCTGTCCAGGAGGTGGGAGGGTCTGGTAGGGAGGGTCTGCTGCTGATTGGCTGGAATGTGTCTGCTGACTGTGAGGTACAGGGTCAAAGTTTACTCAATGATGAGTCCGCAGCGAACCGTTCACGAACAGTTCGGAACATCACTATTCCTGATATGTTTAAACCTTTGCCCTTCTAATTTAAGACTATGTCTTCTTGTTGAGGTAGTTTTTCTTCTTTTAAATATGGTCTCCTCCTTTACTGTGTTGATTCCCTTTATGTATTTAAATGTTTCTATCATATCCCCCCTGTCTCGTCTTTCCTCCATGTTACGATCATTTAACCTTTCCTGGTAAGTTTTATCCTACAATCCATGAACCAATCCATGAATCATTAAGCTGAAGTGGTCTGGGTGCCTAGAGTGGTCCTTTAAAGATTGCAGTTTATTGATATGCCTTCTATGTGCAACAGTGTCAAAAGCCTTACTGAAATCTAGGTAAGCAATGTCTACTGCACCACCCTGATCTATTATTTTAGTTACCCAATCAAAAAAATCAATAAGATTAGTTTGGCATGATCTCCCTGAAGTAAACCATGTATTTTTAGATGTTCATCAATCCTATCCTTTAACATGGTTTCCATTACTTTCCCCACTACTGAAATAAGGCTTACTGGCCTATAGTTGCCCGACTCCTCCCTACTACCTTTCTTGTGAATGGGCACAACATTTGCTAACTTCCAATGTTCTGGGACTACTCCTGTTAACATGATTGGTTAAATAAATGTTAATGGTTTTGCTAGTACACCACTAAGCTCTTTTAATAACTTTGGGTGTATTCCATCAGGTCCCATTGACTTATTTGTCTTTTTGTCTTTACTTTTGACAGTTGAAATAGGACCTCCTCCTTTGTAAACGCACATGTAATAAATGACTTATTTGTCCTTTTTCTTAACTGAGGTCCCTTTCCTTTTTTTTTACTGACTGTGCTATTTTCTCTTCTGTGTGAGATTTGGAAGCTATTATAAGTTGCTTAGCCTCTTTCTGCCTAATCTTATAGAGCATTCTGTCTTCCTCACTATTTACTATTTTGGCCACATCTGCGTAGTACCACAGTGGTTTCTTGAATATTTTTGCTTTTACTAACAAGCCTAATGCAATTTTCTGTTGCCTTCAGCAGTGCAACTTTTAAATAATCCCATTTCTCTTGGACTCCATTTAAATTGCCCCAATCTGATTATGACTCCTTTTACACATATTCTAATTTTAGAAAAGTCTTTTTTTATTTTTTTTTTTAAAGTCTAAAACCTTTGTTTTTGTGTGGTATGACTGTCACTGTTCTTTTATTAAACCACACTGACTGATGATCACTGGATCCTAAACTTTCAGTAATATCTGATACCAAATCTCCATTTGTTAACACTAAATCTAGTATGGCCTCTTTATGAGTTAGCTCCTCAATGACTTGTTTTAGAGACAATCCCAGTAGGGAGTTTAGAAATATGTGTGCTCCTGGCACAATTAGCTAACTTTGTTTTCAAATTCACATCAGGAAGATAACTTCCCCCTTCATTGTAATTTTAGCTATTTCCTCAACTAGTAGATTATCTAACTCTTCTATTTGTCCTGGGGGCCTATACACATACACGAGTTACTGTGTGATTACCAAATTCTAACGTAACATAAATGGACTCTCTGTTCGCCTCACTAACTTTTATTAGGCTAGATTTTATGCTATCCTTCACATACAGGGCAACCCCTCCCCCTTTCTTGCTTTCCCTGTCTTTTCTATATAAAGAGTACCCTGGTATTGCCATGTTCCAGTCATTTTTCTCATTATACCATGTCTCAGTAACAGCAACTAAATCTACATTATCAGTTGCCATTATTGCCACAAGTTCATGGATCTTATTCCCTAAACTGTGAGCATTTGTAGACATGACTCTTAGCTTGTCATTTTTTAACACACTTGCTAAAGGCACCTTCTGTCCTTGTTTTGGGGGGCAATTGGATTGATGTTTTATCACCCTTTTGCCCCCCCACCCCTCCTAGTTTAAATACATCCTAGCAAAACCTCTGAACTGCTCACTGAGAACATTTGTTCCCTTTTGAGAAAGATGCAAACCATCTTTTTTGTACAGTTTATTTCCATTTCAAACAGAGCTACCATGAGAAATAAAGCCAAATCCTTGCTCCTGACACCATTCACCAAGCCACAAGTCCCTAATACGCATCCGCCTCTCGTTCTGAGTGTTATGCACAGTGTGGAAGCAACCTGCTGTATATCATTGGCAAAAACACTAAAAACTTCCTTAACCTCTGAAACCTCATTGCAAGCCAAGTCATTTGTCCCTGGATGGACAAGTACATCCAATTCCCCTTCCTGCTTTGCTCGCTTAACAATATTACAAATACGTCTCCTGTCTCTGTGAGCAGTAGCTCCGGGAAGACATCTCACAAGACCACAATTGTCCATCTCCTCACCTCTTATGATGGAATCCCCCAACAACAACTTCTTTCTATTAGGCCTCACCATAGTCTCCAAGCCTGTCTCCACAACACCACTACCCTCAGTGCCTGAGCCTGTCTCCACAACACCACTACACTCAGTGCCGGTCTCCATAACACCACTACCCTCAGTACCTGAGCCTGTCTCCATAACACCATTACACTCTCTGAAAGTGCAGAAAATGAATTATGTAGAGAAACAGACTGTGCAATATGCCTTTCAGCCTCAACTCTGTCTACCAGATCCTACAGTAATCCATCTTCCATTCCTAGTACATCTCTGCGGCAGTGGCTTTGCAGCAGTTCCAGACTGAGTTTGTTTACCAGATAATTTACAAATCTCAGACTTCAAAAATACAATCTCCTGCCGCATAATAGAGAACTGTCTACAGATTAGACAGCATCCAAATCTCCAAAAAGTGGAACGTGAAACAAATGCATAACAACTATTACACTGAACTAAGTCTGCCATTTCAGTAAGGTGAATAATTTAAATCAAACAAATCTTAAATTTTTAGTCCTCCTGAATACCTCCGATTTCTTCCAGTTTATTTCCAGAATATCTCCAACCACACACTTAGAAGCAGCACTCTCCAGAATATCTCCAACCACACACTTAGAAGCAGCACTCTCCAGAATATCTCCAACCACACACTTAGAAGCAACACTCTCCAGAATATCTCCAACCACACACTTAGAAGCAGCACTCTCCAGAATATCTCCAACCACACACTTAGAAGCAGCACTTAGATGAAGCAGCCAAGCTATATTAGCCAAGCTAATGACAACAACCCTTATATAACTCCTAAAATCACCACCCACTAGGAATGTTTAACACCTGGGTAGGCCTCTGCTTGTTTGCAAACAATAGCTAATTAACCAGTAATCAATAGCAAGTAACTAGCTTAATCAAATCAAATGCCTTACCAAATTACCAACAGGAAATCAAACCTTGTACAATCAGTAACCTTTTCCTACAGATGAATCTTACCTGTAACAGTAGAAAAGAAAACTCTCTTAGCAAAATCTTAGACAGTTGAAGCTTCTGTAAAACTCTCCAGAATATCTCCAACCACACACTTAGAAGCAGCACTTAACTACCAGTACCGCCCATCTTGAGGCAGCACAGAAAATTCTCTATAGGTGGTACTTAGTACCAACACGTTTAAATTCTATGTCCCCCTTAACGTCAAACCAGTGCTGGAGATGTCATAAAGCTAAAGGTACTATGTTACATGTTTGGTGGTCATGCGAAGCAGTTAATTCCTTATGGAATGATGTTATCAAGATGATAAAACATGTGACAAATATTGAACTATCCCAAGATCCTAAAACTATATTGTTACGACTACTTCCAAGTAATTTACCAAAATTAATCAAGAAAATTATTTTTCTCTTATTAAGTACAGCATCTATATTAATTGCTAGACAATGGAAGACCAAGGTTTTACCTTCTCGACGAGAAATTGAAGAATTAATGACCTCAACAGTGGAACATGAATTGTTAATGTGGAATCAAATGAAAATAGGGAAATCGAGCCCTGGTATAGACCAAATGTGGCGGATATATTTACTATCGCATACTAATTAAACTCTGGAATATTTAAACCTAGAGGCCTCTATACGGAATACATTTTGCTGACTATAATCAACATATAGATGATCTCATTTAATCATTTAATTAGTTATGGAAGAAAATAACTTTATAAATTAAGCTAGGTTAACACTCTTCCCCTACCCTGCTTTTCTGTTTTTGTTTTTGTTTTTGGCATGATTGGTAAGGGGATATTCTTTAGAGTGATAACTGTCACTATTAGTGGCTAAAGCAATGTAGACAATATAAGGGTTAGTTTAGAAGAAAAGTAAAAGGATAAAGAAGAGGAGAGGGAGGGAGAAGGGGAAAGAAAGGAGAGAGTAAAAAAATATTTTGTGAATATGTATATTAGTTATTACTGTAATTTATTGTATATAATTTAAGATACATGAACTATATAAGATAGGTTATATCTTGGAATTTAGGCATATATAAAGTGATGAACTATATGCTATCGATGATATGTACAGAGACAAGTGACCTTGTTTGGTTGTTTTTCCTTCCCTTTTTTTTCTTTCTGTATCCCTTATTATTTGAAAAAGTTAAAATAAAAAAGTAAATTGCAAAAAAAAGAAGCAGCACTTAGATGAAGTAACCAAGCTTTATGTCACAACTGGTACAAGCACCAACTAGAAAGGATGCTTGTCTGGATCTCGTTATAACAAACAATGTTGATCTTTTAACCAACATTCAAGTAGGGGAGCATTTGGGAAATAGTGATCACAATATGGTAATTTTTTAAATAAACTCAAAAAAGCAAAAGCACGTGGGGTACACTAAAAGTATAATTTAAAAAAAGCCAATTTCAATAAGATTAGGGCAGCTCTACAACATATCGACTGGCATAAACTCCTTAGTGATAAAAACACTGAGGATAAATGGAAACTATTCAAACAAATATTAGAACGGTACATTTCTCAGTATGTACCATTGGGTAATAAATAGTGATGTCCCGAACGGTTCGCAGCGAACAGTTAGCCGCGGACTCATCGAGTAAACTTTGACCCTGTACCTCACAGTCAGCAGACACATTCCAGCCAATCAGCAGCAGACGCTCCCTTCCAGACCCTCACACCTTCTGGACAGCTCACTAAGAATGCAGCTTCACAATGAATGTAAAATGGATGCTGTCCAGGAGGTGGGAGGGTCTGGGAGGGAGGGTCTGCTGCTGATTGGCTGGAAGGTGTCTGCTGACTGTGAGGTACAGGGTCAAAGTTTACTCAATGATGAGTCAGCGGCGAACCGTTCGTGGCGAACCATTCGGGACATCACTAGTAATAAATATAAAAGAAACAAATTAAAACCAATGTGACTTAGTAGAGAAGTAAAAGAAGAGATTAAAAATAAGAAAAGGGCATTTAAAACATTTAAATCGGACACATCAGAGGCATCCTATATAAGATTATAAGGAAGCCAATAATGCTTGCTAAAAGGCAATTAAAGTGGCTAAACTAGAAAATTAGAAATTGAAAGCAAAACCAACCTCCAACAATTTTTCAAGTACATCAATTCTAAAAAAAACAAAAAATGAAAGTGTAGGTATACTGGAAACAGAGGTGGGTTTGTTAGCTAATGAAGACCAGGAAAAAGCAGAAATTTTAATTAACTATTTTTCTTCAGTATATATTAATGAGGATCCTATGACAAGAGATATGCAAATGATTGCTGCAAAAAACTTGCAGATATCTTGTGAATGGATAACTAGAGACAAGGTGCTACAGCTATTAAATAAAATTAATATAAATAAAGCTCTGGGGCCTGATCGTATTCACCCACGAGTACTTAAGGAGCTAAGTGGGGAAATAAGTGAACCTCTGTATTTAATTTTTCAAGATTCTTTTGTTTCAGGTAGTGTACCGGAGGATTGGAGGAAGGCAGATGTTGTTCCTATGTTTAAATAGGGTTCAAAATCCTTGCCTGGAAATTATAGACCTGTGAGCTTAACTTCTGTGACTGGGAAAATATTTAAAGGGCTATTAAGGGATAATATTCAGGAATTCATTGGGAAGAACTTTATTAGCAATAATCAGCATGGTTTTATGAAACATAGGTCATGTCAAACTAACCTAATTGCATTCTACGAAGAAGTAAGTAGAAGTATAGATCAGGGTGTTGCAGTGTATGTGATCTACTTGGATTTTGCCAAGGCATTTGATACGGTTCCTCACAATAGGTTAGTCTTCAAACTAAAAGAAATTGGTCTAGATGAGTATTCTTGTTGTTGGGTAGAACATTGGCTCAAGGATAGAGTTCAATGAGTTGTCATTAATGGTAAATTTTCAGGCTGGCCAAAAGTGGTAAGTGGTGTCCTACAGGGTTCTGTTTTGGGACCGCTTTTATTTAACATATTTATAAATGATCTTGAAATAGGCATTGAAAGCCATGTATCAGTGTTTGTAGATGACACAAAACTTTGTAAAGTAATAAAATGTGAGCAGGATATTGTTTGCTGCAGAGGGATTTGCATAGATTGGGGGACTGGGCACTAAAATGGCAGATGAAATTTAACGTAGAGAAATGCAAAGTTAACATTGAATTGGGAACGTTCAGCACCTCCATGCAGAAAATGGAGACACTGAACGTAGGTGCTATACAAAGGCTGTCTGAGTGATTGTCACTAGAGGTGTTACTAGGCAACAGTGTAAACATTGCCTTTTCTATTAAAAGGCAGTGTTTACATTGATGTGTGCAGGGACAGGCCATAGACACCAGAGCAACTTCATTAAGCTGTACTGGTTTTGGATTCTCTAGTGTTCCTTTAAGAATTGTATTTTGAGGTTGTAAAACCTGGCTCCTAACATTTTTAGCTGGCTGCTAGATTCTAAGCAAATTTGTCAAGGCCTGTCCTCGCTGCACCCACCTCAACCTTTATCCTTCTCTGTAACCACTAAAGCCTCTATCCTTCCCTGTACCCACCACAGCACCTGTCCCTCCCAGCACCCACAACAAATCTTCTGCCCCTTTGCGCCTACAACATCCACTCTACTGCAACTACAGCCCCCTTGTACCTATTACAGCCCTATTATTTATATTAGAGGGAGGGGAAGAGGGGGAACATGCCAACAGTTTTAATAAAACACTGTATTTGGTTGGATTAACACCTTAAAAGTGAAATCTGATCTTGTTTGGGGGGCCCTGTGGTTGTGGGAGTTATGATTGTGTGGATCTCACACAGCCATTCTAAGGTCTGGGCAGAGTAGAAGTGGCCAAAACAAGCTTGCACCATGAGAGAGGCCCTTGGTCCCCCATTGCCAGATGTCCCTGTGAGTTGTCAGTCCGTTCCTGGCTGTCTGCCATTTCTCTTGTCCTTCTTGGACTTTCCTGTTTTTTTGTTTTTTTTGTGTGTATAATGAATAAGCATAAAAGAAATCTACTGAAAAAGATTTCACGGGTCTCCTAATTTTTAGACGTGCAGTTGCCTAATCCAGGCAATTATCATTTATTGGGGAGGGGCCTGCACAACTATAATCCGCTAGAGAATGAATGAAACTTTTTTTTTTTTTTTTCTTCCATACAATGTAAGGCAATTTAACGCCACATAATATTCTATTTTACACAATGCGCATGTGCAAAATTTGTCACTATGCACAATGCATCAAACAGGACATTAACTATATTTGAGGCTTGTGTCATTTGACGATAGATGACGCACCAGAATGATACAAGCGAGATATGGTAACAACGACACATAGATGGATTTGGTTGGTACAAATTTGAAGCCAGTTTTAATATCAATGAGGGGCCCTTCAAATTCACATGAAATGTTCTGTCGCTTGAGAGCAAAGTAAACATGTTTCTGGTACGTCAATATTGGTAAGTGCTCTCATTTTTTGACACAAGAGTCTGGAGGTTTGGAATTAACTAGATTTTGATGCAGGTATGTCAATATTAGAAGATGACCTTGCAAGCAATGCCAAGAGTATGGCTGACTTATTGCACAACAAATTTATGTTGCGTTCCAACTGCTGTGCCCTCTCCCTCTCCAAATAATCATACCTCATCTCCCTCACCTCCATCTTCTAATATAACCCCAAACACCTCTTTCAAACTTTTTTTTTACTATTCTTTGTTTTTATGGTGCAAATGATAACACATATGGTTGCAATGGCAAGGTCATTAAGAACCGTAAAAAACATTTGTATGGCATGTAGAATAACAGCACAATTTTGCACATTTTGTTAATTATAATATATCAAGATGAGAAAGGTTGCTCATAAAAAGTAGACTAGGTTGAGTGATGAGACCTCGTTAAACAAAATGGCATGGAAAATGATTTGCTTAAGAGTAAAATAAAGTGGAAAATGTATTCATACTTACCGTAATTTTCTTTTCCCGGCTCTTATTCATGGCAGCATATACTTCATGGGTTAGCACAGCCCCTTAGAGCCGATAGGACAGGAAAAACACCAAAGGCTTTAAAAGGAGGCTCCATTCCTAAGGTCCTCAGTCAGATAAATAGAGACATTGGTGGGTGGGTAGTATATGCTGCCAGGAATAATAGCCAGGAAAAGAAAATTACGCTAAGTATGAATACATTTTCCACTTTCATGGCAGCATATAAATCATTGGAATACCCAAGCTAACAAAGGGAGGGACAGAAATTTAAATAACTGTCAATCAAATAATCAGAACAATTCAACATAGATTAGAAGATTGAACTGAGTTAAGTACTTGACGTCCAGATTGCACATCATTGACGGCTTTAACGTCCAGTATTAAATGCCGGACAAACGTGTCTAAAGAGGTCCAAATGCCAGCTTTACAAAAAGTGTCAGCAGAAATCATTGCCACTGAAACCCAGGATGCTGCAACAGCATGAGTGGAGAGTGCCCTGATACCCTTCGGCACAGGTAGAGAATGGCATTAATAAGCTTTGCTCTTAGTCAGGATATCTGTGGCTAAATGCAAGACAACCATATCCTGTTGAAAATTAGTGAATGGGGGTCCACAGAACCAAGCCTGGAGTTAACACATTCTCCTTGCTGAGGTATCAGCCACCAGCAACATCACTTTCTGTGCTACCACCATGGAAACTCCTGCTAGTGGTTCGAATGATGGTTTAGTCAGAGCCTGTGAGACCAGTGGTACGTCACATATTGGCTTCAACACCCTCAGTGGAGGCTTAGTTTAATTGCTGCTTACATGAAGCAAAGCACCAGGGGTTCCAATGTTCAATAGGCACCCATCAATGTGGAAAGTGCAGATATGTGCTCCTCTTGATTGTTATAACTCAGGCCCTTTCTAGGACTGATGGAGGAGTAATTCCAGCCTCTATTCTTGAGACCAACAGACAAATACATGCCAAGTTTTGTAAAGTATTTATAGGACTGTAAGAGACCGTCTAAGGGATGCTTATACTTATAGAGACTCCCGCATCAACACCAGAACTTGAGGATCTTGGTGTGTCAAGGGACCTTGCAATAGGTCTGGATGTACTGAAATTTCCCTTGGAGGTTCCCGATTCATCATACTCATCATAGAAATTTAGTCGACATGGCCTTCCACTGTCTCCTTTTGAATTACCTTTAGGAGTATTTAAAACAGGAAAAATATGTACATCAGACTAAAATTCCAAATTTGAGTCAGCGTATCCTGACCTTGAGCATTCTGGTCCTAAAATCTAGTAAAACACTTCTAGACCTGGTAGTTCCAAGAAATGGCCATCAGATCTATGTAGGGTATCAGTCAAATCTGAGTCAACCCTGAGGATACGTTGGGACATAGTTGCCATTCCACCTTGTTAAGTTATTCGGCTCAGGTAATCAGCCATTGTATTTGGAGTCCCTGGCTGTTCTTCTGTGCCCTGATCATCGTGGGTTGTAATTCCCTCATCAATAAGTGGCTGTGAGACCCACCTTGACGATTGATATAGGATACAGTCGCATTGATATTTGAGCAAATTTGGACCCACTTGTTCTTCGGCAACCCTCTGAAGTGAAGAGCTCTTAAAATGACTTGTAATTCCATACATTTGAATGGCAATATCGTGCCTTCCCTTATCCACAGACCTTGTGTAACATGGTCCAAACACTGTGCAACCAATCTTTGAAAACTGCAATCCAAGCTTATAATTGACCAATGAGGTTCTGTGCACTGCAAACCCAGAGATATATTCTCTTTTCAGCTACCAGGTATGGTGTAACCCCACTGATGGTGATATTGTCAGTGGCTGGCTCCAACCAAGATAGGAACGACATTTGAGGAATCCTGAGATGCCATTGGGTCCATCTGACAAGTTTGATACTGGAGCCAGGATTCCTAGTAGTTGCATATACTTTTTGCTGCTACCAAGCAAAAATGAAGAAACTGGAAGACAAAACTTCCACAATCTGTGGAACTGTTCCTGAAATAGGAGAAACGCAGAGCATATAATTTTCCACCCAGAAATATCAACCTCTGAACTGGTGTGAAATTGCTTTTCTTGATATTCATCAAGGAGACAAACTTCAGGAGTTCTGAAAAAACTATATCCCTCTGTGGACCTGCTTTCTGTGGGTCTGAGGCTACCAGAAGTAGAACATCCACATAATGGAACCAGGTGGTGTTCTGGACTCTCAATATCACTATGAGCAAGGTTCTTGGGGCAACTGGTAGGGCACTAAATTGGAAGTTCTCTTCTGAGATAATGCTGAAGAGCTAGGGCTACTGGGATGTGATAGTAAGCCTTTTTTGAGATATAGAGATAAGGAAATTATCCTTCCAAATTGCTTGCGTTATGGATCTGATTGACTCCATCCCAAAGACTCTGACATTCAGCCTTTTGCTGCAGTATAGGCTTCCATGTATAAATATACAACGTTGCGGCATATACTGGGTCCCTGTTTAGCAGAAATGTTTTCCTGTTAAGGGCGAATCCAGAAACACCAGAAGAGAGGCAAATATTGTCCCTTGAACTGCTCTTGTTATGGGACCTAAGAAGCCACCTCTTCGTCCCAAAGGCTTCTTACATATTCCTCCAGTGCTATATCTTGCAGCCCTCAACCGCCTTTTAAATGGATTTATCCAAAGCTTTCCCAAACAGCAGCTCCCCTTCAAATAGAATGGTGTAGATGGCAGACTTGGAGGATGAGTCATCATCCCAGAAACATAACCATAATGCTTTTCTAGCTGCTATTTAAAGTAAAAAAGGGGCACTGTCAAATTCTATTACGAAAAAAACAAGCTGATTTAAAACTGGCTGAAAACACCACTTACCCATGTCTGGAGACTCTGCAAATACTTTACAAATACGTTTGGGATGTTTACTGTAATTTTCTCTCCATTTTAGTTACTTTCTGGCAGATGCCCTAATCCAAGATGGCTGTCGCAACTTGTATTCCCATAATGCAAGTCACCGGTATTGGGCTCTTTAAGGCACAAACTGCACATGCGCGGGCGCCTTTCGAGTGCATTTGCCATTTAGAGACTGGGGAGAAAGCACAGTTTATACTATGATGCCTTTAAACTGTGGGGCATTACGCAGCTGTAATTAGGCTGTGATGCCTTTATACTATGATGCCTTTAAACTGTGATGTCTTTAAAGGCATCACAGCCTAAGGCACAGCTGCATAATGCCCCACAGTTTAAAGACATCACAGCTTAAATGCATCACCGTATAAAAGCATTACCACATAAGGCACAACTGCTTAATGCACCACAGTTTAAATGAATCACAGTGTAAACCTAGCATAGTATAAAAAATCACAGTATGAAGGCACCATAAAATAAAGGCACCCTAAAATAGCAAAAACAAATAAAGTAATGAAGAGACGTCCATAAGTAAAGGGAGCCAAATGGTCACATCCTAAGGGCTGAAGGACAGGAAAAAGACTGAGGACCTTAGGAATGGAGCCTCCTTTTAAAGCCTTTGGTGTTTTTCCTGTCCTATCGGCTTTAAGGGGCGGAGCTAACCTGTGATGTATATGCTGCCATGATTAGCTAGGAAAACTAAATCTATAGAAATCATGTCATATTGACTAAAGACTCCTGGGCCCCAGAGAAAGACCCAGCCTGAGAGGTAAAAGTGGCCCCTATAATAACTGCCCATTAGCCAGCAGAGAGGCAACCTCAGTCCCCAAGCAGAGATGATTTAATTCCCATCACCGGCAGTGCACAGTTCCAACCTTCAGTCGCAGGCCCCAAGCAGGCAGTGAACAGCCTGTCCTCCACAAAGGCCACGCCAGCTTGGCAGGATGTAGAGTGGATTGGCTTCTCCATGGAATCTCCGTGGAATGGCTTGTATTGGAGTAGCAGTGCTTATTTATCCATGCTGAAGTATCAGTATATGGTAAGGAGATGGGGTTTGGCAGGCACTTTAGGTGGTCCGCAATAATCGATCAGGCCCTCAAAGCAAGCGGCCCGACGCACTCTCTGAAAAGGCAGTGTTTACAGCATGTCCCTGCAAGCTTTTTGCTGTAGACAGCAGAACAAATACCTTAACCCAGTGGTTTCCAAACTTTTTAGGTTCAAGACGCCCTTAATATTTAAATATTTTAACAAGGCACCCCAAATCAAAAAAAATTATAGGTTGTATAAATATACAACGTTGCGGCATATACTGGGTCCCTGTTTAGCAGAAATGTTTTCCTGTTAAGGGCGAATCCAGAACTTAATCCTGGGGGGGGGGCACTGGCAGATAATTTAAAGAAACAATCCAGGCACAAAAACCACTACAGCACTAGGTAGTAATTATGGTGCCAGGAGTGTTGTGGTGCCCTCCGAGGGTAAGTCGTCAAACTGTTTAAGAACAGTTTGACAACTTACCTTGGGTCTGCCGTGATGGGGGCTGTAGTAGCGGATAGGTGCAGTAATGTGTGTGTGTGGTGTGCAATGTGTGTGGCTTTAGGTGTGTGTGTGTTTGTGTGAGGGGTGTAGTGTGTTTACTGGGGTGCATTGTGTTTGTGAAAGATGTAGAGTGTGTGTGGGGGGGGGTGCATTGTGTGTGTGGGGGAGGGGATCAATGTGTGTATTGAGGGGTACAGTGTGTGTGTGTGAGGGGTACAGTTTGTATGTATGGGGGTACACTGTGTGTGTATGGGGAGGAAATTAGTAAATATACACTTTTTTTTAATTTAAAAAAAATAATTATTTTCATATCCCCCCCTCCCTGCTTACCTTTGCCTGGGGGAGGGGCAATCCCTGGTGGTCCGGTGGAGAACCCCATGTGGTGAGAGTGAACTCTAGCAGATTCACTCTCACGAGATTTGGAGTGTTGCTGTGCTCTTCCTCCCGGCTGCAGTATTATACTGCTAGTGGGCCGGTGACGGATATCTCTGAGCCGGCAGGGGAGAGGGAGGCAAGGTTCTATGATCATTCGATCATAGCACCGGGGAAATATCTCATGGCGCCCCTGTGTGCACACAGTTTGGGAACCGCTGCATTAACGCCTTAAGGGTGAAGGCAATTGTACAAGTTCTGATCAAAACAAAACCTGGAAATTTATGTCTGTTCAACACTTATTATATATCATTTTGTTCAAGAGAAACAGGGCTTTCATTTCACATCAAATAGTTATATATGAAATCTAAAATCTAAAAAAAAAAGTGTGAAATTAAGAAATTTTGCTATTTTTCAAGTTCTGCATGACATTTTAACTATGAATGTCATAAAATTGTTAATGTTAACTGCAATAAAATACACATATTTGTATTTACCAATGGCTCACAAGTACAACAGTACCTCTTATTTACAGGTTTTATGGGGTTTTGGAAACTTACAGAGTCAAATATAGGGCTTTCCCCTTTTCCATTTTTTCCACTTTGAAATTTGCCAGATTGGTTTGTTGGCCCTATGTTGCCTTTGAGACCGTATAGCAGCTCAGGAATGAAAATGAACCCCATGCTGGCATATCATTGGGAAAAGCAGACAACCCAGGGTATTCAAAATAGGATATGCCCAGTCCTTTTTTTAGCAGCCACTTAGTCACAAACTCTGGCCAGAGTTAGTCTTCGTGTTTTTTTTTTTTTTGCCTTTATCACAAAAAAAAACTTTTTCACCAATGATGATATCAGCATTATACATTTTATTGCTCTAAAACACTTCTATTTGTGTTCAGCAATACCTCATATACAGGTTTTATGGTGTTTTGGAAAGTTAGTGTCAATATTCGGCTTGCCCATGTCAATTTGTTTGTCAGGCAGTCCCAGTTGGGATCATCGCAGATCGCCAGTCTAGGGAAGTGCAGAGTGGTGCAGTGGCTGGCTGGGCATATTATGCAGCCCTGTGGCATTTAAAGCCACCTCCTAAACGACAGCATAGTACACCCGCCATTCTTAAGGGGTTAAGCTATAGTTGTTCTAGAGACTCTAGTGTCCCTTTAAGTGCATGCATGTTTTCATTTGTGGTATATCTACTAAACAGTGATTTATTTAGGTAGTTAAGTGTACCTTTTAGGTCAACAAGCCTTCATAACCTTTACCCTGCAGGCACATTGACACTGACATTTTCTTCATTCAAATCAGTCACCAAATCCTGTCCCATTTAACTTAACCCCTTATGGACCGTGGAGGTATAAGGTACGTCCGTCAAAAAACGGTCATTAAGGACCGCAGACAAAACTCATACGTCCTCTGTAAATTTGAGCGCTGGAAGCAATTGCTTCCAGCCGCTCTGAGGGCATTACACAATGCCTTGATATCGAGGCATCTTGGAATACCCACCCACACTGCCGGGCACCCGGAGCGATCACTTCTGGGTTGCCGCACGTGGCACCCGGCAGTGTGAACAAGAGCATCGGAAGCATTCAGGCAGGCTTCCGATGCTCTGCCTGTATGGAGTGGCACTCAGTTAAAATAATTTTTTTTAAATTAACCCCTACCCTCCCTCCCTCCCTCCCCCCCCATGTACTTGCCGATCACTGCCATTCCCCCGCTGTCGACAGGTCTTCTTCTGAGGGGAACTGTCTGGGCCATGAGCCAAGACTTTATTACAATTTATACATACATTTAAACCCCCAACAGCCCCATTTACATACAATAGGGTACATAGAGCACTATAGTACAAGGAAGGGTGGGGTCAGACAATAGCAAGGGCTGATGGGAGATTGTGGAGGGACAAAGCAGCCAATTTAAACTGGTCTGGCAGTGTCCCTGGGAAAACACCCTGCTGCGGAAACAATAGGACAGGAATAAGGGGGAGGGGAAGAGGCACAGACTAGCAATACACTCTGAGAGATAATTGAGTCAGGAACTGTACAAACTCAATTATCTCCAGGTACAGAAAAACGCTCAATTTACAAACACCCCAAGATCCATGGAAACCCCACAAGAGTCACATCCTCGGATAGCCCTGATCTGGGTGACCAACATATCCAAAAATCACCCAGATCGGTTCAGTGGTTTGGTTTTGCCATGGAAGTCACTTTTTAGCATGTCTTTTTGCAGGTGCCCTTCCCCCATACACGCACACAAACTGCACCCCTCACACACACACACACACACACACACACTGCATCCCTCACGTATACCATTGAGTTTTATTATTTCTGGCAGGCGCCGGTCCACAAAATATTTCTCCTCTTTTCGCCGGTCCCCGGGTGCTAAAAGGTTGCAGATCACTGGTTTAAGCTATCTACATATCATTTGATTCCCTCTGTCTATTTGTCTGTCATCCTTTTAGATTGTAAGATTGCTTAAGCTGGGCTCTCTTCACCTGCTGTCTCGTATAATAAACATGTTTTATTAGTATTACTTGTTTCATGTGCCAAGAATATGATAACTCTGAGAATGGACAAAGTTTAGGGAAACTCAGAAGCTTTCTCTTCGGTTAGTCCCTGTTCAAAAATAATTTTGCTCACTTGTGCCATTACGAAGAGAACCTATACCATTCACATATCAGACTGGTTACATCCACAAGTGCAGCCCAGAACCGAAATTCTTGCAAGATCTCTCTGCAGAAGAGAGACAGCAACCCCAGACAATCGTTTTGCGCTTTGCGAAGTGTGCCTGATACACCTATGGGGAGCTTGTCTTGTTTACTGTGGAATATGTTGCAACTATATAAATTCTTGTAATTGTGCATACACCTAATACTTAATTTATTTGTTCCTTTTCATTATTATTATTATTTCAGACTTACAAAAGGAAGATGTCTTTCAATGCGAGATTGACTACGAAGGATTTGAAGAACTTGAAAACAGAAAGTCAAAGAGGAGTAAAAGAAAAAATAAGAGACAAAAAATAATGTGATTGTGTTCTAATCTAGAAAAGACTAAATTTATTAACAAGAGCCAGAAAAGCTTTTCTTCCATTTGTGTACATGCCGGAATATTGAAAATTTTTGTTTTTTAATGAAACCTTTTAAAAGGCTGTTGGTTATGTCTTAAACAATAGTTTACATTTATTTTAAAACAAATTCTGATAGTTTAATCATTAGTTAAATAAGATATTTCTAGTTGGTTTACATAGTTTTTTCTAAACTGTACATGTCACAATTCCCTTCATTAGACTGAACCTTTAAAGGACCACTCTAGGCACCCAGACCACTTCAGCTTAATGAAGTGGTCTGGGTGCCAGGTCCTTCTAGGGTTAACCCATTTTTTCATAATTATAGCAGTTTCAGAGAAACTGCTATAATTATGAATGGGTTAAGCCTTCCCCCTAATCCTCTAGTGGCTGTCTCATTGACAGCCACTAGAGGCGCTTGCGTGCTTCTCACTGTGAAAATCACAGTGAGAGCACGCAGCGTCCATAGGAAAGCATTGAAAATGCTTTCCTATGAGACGGCTGAATCTTGCGCGCGCTCTTGCCGCGCGTGCGCATTCAGCCGGCGGCGTAGAGGGGAGGAGGAGGAGAGCTCTCCGCCCAGCGCTGGAAAAAGGTAAGTTTTTACCCCTTTCCCCTTCCAGAGCCGGGCGGGAGGGGGACCCTGAGGGTGGGGGCACCCTCAGGGCACTATAGTGCCAGGAAAACGAGTATGTTTTCCTGGCACTATAGTGGTCCTTCAAGTATATTTCTTAAATAGGATACAGTAAATTTCCGAAACAGGATACAGTATATATTTACTTCTGAGTATAAAGCTTTACTTCTCATTTCAACTTCAATTCATTTTGAGCTTTCTCCAAGCCATAACTGCATTAATTTTATTTTATTTGAATTATGCCAGAAAAAAGGTCTTATCCTCAAAAAAAATAAAAATTGGGGTCATTCTATCTCAAGTGGACCAATAATTGTAAAGCTGGTTGCTTGACCATTTTTAATTTCTTTATTTTTTTTTTTAATTTACCTCTATATATTGGTATTGCAAAACCACAAGTTTTTTATTTTTATTATACTTGGATAAACCATAGATGCCATCTTTCTGTTATGGTGCACAACAGCATTGACTTATACAGGTGTTTATTGAAACTTCAAAATTTCCGCTCAGGATGGTCCCAGGTCCTTGGAACAAAAACTGATCTCTAGAGCACTGTACTGGGTAAATGTACATATTTAAACATTTTGCACATTCTTGTTCCTTAGAGTTAGAACTTGAGTCCTAATCAGGCCTGGAACAGCCATAAGGCAAATGTCCAGTGGGCCTCAGTGGCCATAGGCCAAGGCCGACAAGGAAGATCCTTTCATCTCCCATGCAGAGCCAGCCTTGCTGTGGGCCCTCTGGGATCGGCCCACTGGCACTTACTTTTGAGGAGTGGTAGGAACCCGGGAGGCAGTCTGGAGCGTTGCCGTGCGTTACTTTTTCAATGCACCGACAGTGCTGAGCTCTCGAGAAGAGGAGCTACAGACTAAAGTCTAAAGTTCTTTGCCATCACTGGACCACCAGGCAGTGCAAGGTAGGGGAACATAAGACTTTTTTTTTAATCATTTGTATATATTTTTTTTAAACACATTTTCTCACATTTTAACCCACCCACACAAAACATAGACCCTGTTCACCCCTTATACACACACACAAATAAATGCAAAACCCTTGCACACACAGCACCCTCACACACACTGCATCCTTTGCACACACACACACACACACTACATCCATTATACACACACTGCACTACATACACACTCTGGATCTCCTACACACACTAGATTGCCCTTAGACACACACTGCACCACCTACATATAGCGTCTGTGCACACACTCGCAGCAACACCTATACACACATAGTATGCCCCCTGTACACACTAAGAACAGTATACACAAGCACTCTACAGCTCCTAGCCAGGCATATAATACCACAAACTAAAACTCTACACATGCAATTCCACAAGCACCACCAACACAAGCTCAACATCACTGATCGTTTCACTTTTAGGGTCAGTTTATAATTGGAAAGGTTCAATTCTCAGTTCTTTAGTTTTTTTTAAGGGGTATGGAGGTAAATATAGTGTGCATGCCGTCCATTTCAAGTTTGAGACTTTTTTTACTGAACCAAGGAAAACCAATTAGGAAAATTAAAAAGTCAGGCAACCTATGCTGAAACACTTGAGATGATTTAACCCTTATAACCCTTATAATATTTGTGGTTGTATTTTCTGTAAAGGAAACTTTGCACATATATTTTTTTTACATACATGATTCTATAGTTCCATGAAAGGCTTCTCTGTCTATTTGACCTGTTAGCACTATCTTAGTGTGTGTTAAAAATGTTTTTTACACTTTGTTAAATTTGATCATTTCTATTTCTTCTTTGTAGCAATTAAGTTCAATTATTTTATTTTGTATCACTAATGTATATGATTCTTCAACCTTTTTTACCGTTTACATATGTGATTTGCATATTGTTATCAGTTTAACTTGGCTGTGGGAAACATGACCAGTGTTTGTGAGTGTTAAAGATTATATTGATAAACATTTAAAGGGAAAACAATGCATTTATCCAGTGTCTGATTAGAACCCCATATAATCTAGCTTAGATGATTAGATTCCTACAGCAGTTTTTCTACATTTTTATAAAAGGAGGCCTTGATTGCAAACATTTTTGCATACTATTTTATACCTTTTCGAATGCATATGTTCATCTCTTGTATAATTACATTTTCCATGTGTGATAAAGATTTTTGTCATAGATTTCATATTTTTATATAAACTTTTAAAATGATTTAATAATTTGTAAAAATATTAGATATTTTGTAACATTTAAAATATATTTTAAAGGTTTATTCAAAAATATTAAATTGAGGCCATAATATGATGCTGGATTTTAAGTCTACACTTTCATAAGCATACAAATTAGCAAGATTGACTCTGATGTATAAATTCACAAAGGGGTTAGAGACAGGAATATGACTTTTTTTTTCTTCTAATTTACAAAGTATTCTCCTTTTTTAAACTGCTCCCAAGTGTAGCTCCTATTTGTGTTTGGAAAGTAAGTTATTAACATTAAAAGAGAAATGCAAAAAGAAAAAAAATCCCAATTTAACATATATTACTTCCATACTGATGATGCACATCACTGACTACACACACCCATATAATATCTTCCTAGTTTCTCTGATGATTTGTTAATGTGAGGATGATTTTTTTTTTTTTTGCATTTCAATATTCTTTTTGCTTACATTTTCAGTCAATGATTTGTGATACCATCTGATTTTTGTATCACTATTTGTATGTTTACAAATCATACATTTATAATCATTTACATGGCTGTCTTTAATATTAATTGAACCTGGGCCAGATACCACACAACTCTTGTTTTATTTTTCTCGTTTCCCCCCTAATGTCACATCTACCCACATTGCCCTCCACACCAAAATAAACTAAAAAATATATATGTTCTAAGTAATTTTATTAAACCATATTCTAAAATAACGCTATTGAAACTTAGGTGTATGCTCATATTTCTGTGAAGTGATGTGCAGTTGAGATTAAATATAACCATGCCGTGGTTATGTCCACCAAAATGTGTCACTAGTGAGCAAAATATCTTCCCTTTGTCTTGCAAGAGACAAAATATCAACATCTGACACTGGTCATATCAATATCATAAGCCAGCAACCACCAGGAAGTTCACTTTCCATTCAAGAGTTACTATGGCACACCCTAGTGAGTGTAAACAAGACTGTAGTCCAACCTTCTAAAAATGTAACCTAAGTGGCTGTCTCTTTTGATCAGCCTCTCTTGCCCTCTACCCCTTTACACGTGGTGTACCTACATAGAAGTGTTATGACTTTGGCACGCTTCTCCATATGCATTTTCATCACCTAAGTTGAGTATCAGTTTGTTGTGCATTGTGTTCAGCAATAGTTTAGCATTATTTGTATTTGTTTTTATTTGTTTGTTTCCTTTTTGAATCTTTGTCAGGCTTTATTGTGTTTTTTTTTGTTTAGTAAAAGTTTTTATAACAATCCATGTGTCTCCTCACTCGCTTTTTTACATTCTACACTATCAGCTTGTATAAATTTAAATAAAATTTTTACAACATATATAATTTTTATTACATCTAATGTATTGGGTAGCAGGGCATGCATTTTATGACATAGTGGAGATTTTTAAACTTTATTATGTATTAGTGATGTCCACACTTATCCCCAAAAACTGTTATTCAAATACATTGCATTTATATCTTGCGACAACCAAGGGCCATAGGAAATATAGAACACTAAACATGTCATCATTGTAATAAAAATAGCCACCAAAAAATATTAGTGCAAGCATTTCAATAAGTGCAACTCAAAATAACACGTTAAACAGTGCCCTCATAATTCCATATGGGAAAGCAATGAATTAATAGTAATGTAATAGTAATAGTCATTGTGTTTAGTTGTAAATTCTTAAATATACAACAAATAGCCATGAAAATGGCTATACACAGGGTAACATTTATAGGCAATCTGTGTGCACTTATTAAAATATAAATATTTGTGTTATATATAAATATGGAATGTTGGTGGCAGCCTTTAAGTGTTACAAAACCCATTTGTACCCATCTCCAGACTGGTGCATAAATATTTGCTGCCCCAGGCAAAAAAAAGTGCTGCTGCTCCCTAATGATTTTGTCTTTTTGTTGGACATAACAATGTCCTGCGCATGTTGGATAACTCCCTAAATTGATATTATGTGAGATTGCCATATTTAAAGATACCAAATAAAAATGATCTGCTAAGCAGCTCACTAATGTGCTATACCTATGCATGGCAATCCCACATACGATTACTGATTTAGAGAATTTTCTACTTAACAACTGAAAGATCAAAATTGAGAAAATCACTTTTTTAAATTTAGCTCTGTTGGCTGTTTAACCCCATCCCAAAAAATGGTCATTAACTACCTAGGACGTATCTGGTACGTCCGATAGCAAATAGGCACTTACCTGATCGTTGGCGATCTCCTGCCGTGTGGTATCACTGTACTTGGGAGATGTTGCTAAACACATATTGTGTCAAAAAAAATCACCAATTATTAAAAATGTTTACCTTTGGCATAGATTGGTGGTGAAATGGTTGCATGAAAAGAGTCAAAATAACCCAAGTTTAATACCTTAGGTTGTCTTCTTTTAAAAAAAAATATATATACATATGAAGGGTTATTCAGGGATTACTGACAGATATCAGTGTTGGTTAACTTGGGGGGGGGGAAAGGTTTGAGAAATAGCAAAGTGTACTTAATTGCCCTATAACTTGTTAACATTGGGCCCTAGAACATGTTAACATTTGGTATTTCTAAACTCAGGATAAAATTTTTGAAACTATTTAGCGCGGGTGTTTTTTGCCGGTTGTAGATGCGTAACAAATTTTGGGGGTCAAAGTTAGAAATAGTGGGGTTTTTTGTTTGTTTAAATTTCATCCTATTTTATAATTTTTCAGATAGTAAATTATATGAGATGATAAAAATAATGATTTTTTTTAGTAATACCATTTAATGGTGAGAAAACGCTATATAATATGTGTGTGGGTACAGTAAATGAGGAAAATTACAGCTAAAATGTAAAGATCCCTGGTCCTCAACGGTAAGAAAATTTGAAAAATGGTCTGGCCACTAAGGGGTTAATTTCCTACTGTTGATTTTAAGGATACCAAATTAGAGAGCTATCCACTAAATCACTTTCTTATGCACATGTACACACAATAATACACAAACACATTCATGAATATACACATGTTCCTATTACATTTTGTTATTGTCTCATTTGGTAAATTCCCTTTTATTGTAAAGCGCTGCGGAATAAGCTGGCGCTATATAAATAATAATATAATCACATGCATACATATGATTTGTATTAATTTTTTTTAGAAGTGCCCCCAGCCAACCACAAAGCTTCTGATGCACACGTGGGATACAAGCAGAGCGCACCTTAGCGGCTCAAGGGAACCATCATTAGCTTCAACAATGTACAGCATATATCTGAGAAACCAAACATTTGACTATCGGACATGGACTGCAGCAGGGTGCACACACATACACGCCCTGTATATCTCTTAAACAGTTCCCGGACATACAAGCACAGTACAAAATACCAAATAGAGCAATCTTCTCATACTTACAGCTCAAATCGCTGCTACAACAACCCACAGCCTCACCTGGGACACCCGTGGTGTCCAGCTACGACACGTGGTGCCTCAGAGGAGAACCGCACAAACAAACCCTCTCAAGAGTGTACGGAGCACTACTAGCAGGCACACATAACTCTACAGACAATTTCATACAGGCATGGCACAAGGACCTAGGATGCACCTTTTTAGGGCACCAATGGTCCGGAGCCTTTACAATCCATAAAGGCAATACCGCATGCATCACACACTTTGAACAAATAAGGAAACTACAGTATAGGTGGTATCTGGTCCCAACAAGGCTCGCACATATATTCCCAGGCACTTCTGCCCAATGCTGGAGATGTTGTCTGGAAAAGGGCTCGCTATTGCACATATGGTGGGAGTGCAAGGACATTCGACCCTACTGGAACACAGTGAACAAAATCATTGACCACCTACTACCTATAAAATTAACTCTAACCCCAGCAATGCCTCTTGTACATATGGCCAGAGGACATGTCCAAGGTTCATACCAAACTTCTATTCCACACGATAGTATCGGCATGCAACCTCATAGCAAAACACTGGAAATCTAGAGCAGCCCCCACAAAAACCAGACTGTTAGTCCAAATCCAAATGAACTGGGAATACGAACACATGGCGGCCCACCAGCTAGAAAAGAAGGGAGTAACTACAGAGGCAGGCCACATATGGGATAAATACCGGAACACGGTGAAGCATCAGACAGTCGGAGCCGAACATCACTAAAGGTCCGATAGATCGCTAAGAACTGGCCTGTGAGAAACAGAGAAAAAGAGAGTCAGGGAGAAAGCTCATGTCACTAGCATACACACCACGTAGAAGGAAAACACATAGACAAAATGTACAACTAAAGCGAACCCACTTGTGTACATAAATTAACCCCCCCCCCCTTTCTACCGGCCTACGAGGCACAGAGGCAGATACAAAGATGTAACAAAATGTGTAGTAGAGTTTGTTTTAATATTCTACATCATTGTTAGAAAACTGTAATGTACAATGCAATACTTGATCATGCATACATCACCTGATGGTATTTCCCCATCCCCTACCTTCATTTTGTACCCCAATACGTATTTGGAAAAGATAATAAAAATTGTCAAATTGAAAAAAAAAAAGTGCCCCCAGCCTCCCTACCTATACATTGGAGAGCAGTGGTTCCTTCCAGGAATTTCTGAGTTCCCAAATATGCCTGTAGTGATGCTGGGGACCACAATAGGGCATGTGAGGGCACTGGAAAGAAAGTCCATACCTCCCTTACCACATGTTCACTGCCTCCCCCAGTATATCTGGGCAGATTAGGCTCCTGCCATGTTGGTAGGCAAGTGCCTACTCTGCCAAGCGAGCTGGTAGGTCAGTTTAGTGTGGCTATCCCAATGCAATACTGTTAAGCAGGTTGGAGATACAGTGGGACACCCATCGCTGTAGCCGCTGCTGCATGTTCGCTAGAGGGGTGGCGCAGACTGAGGGTGTACCCCGTTAAATAATGATCTAGGCGACCACCTAAGGTTCCTGAAATAAGTGATGGCCTTGCCTATCTCTGGCAAAAGACAAGGACCCTGTCAACCATGTGGCCCATGGCAGTTGTCCCTTTTTCCCTGTGATAAAGATGGCTCTGATCATATTAGGAAAATATAAAAAAAAAGTAAATATAATGAAAGGCATTTCAAAAAGGGGGAGCAGCAGGGATGATTTTAATTTGAAAAGAAATATGGATTTTTTTTAAAACCTAAAAAAAAAAAAAGTAAGCAAAGCAATTTATCCCTACTCAACCCTTTCAAGATATGAAGAAGAAAGCTTTGCCATTCATCCAGTCTGTGGCGTGAGTGACCTTCCTTCAATGTGGAAAACCTCAGTGTCTGATCCGCTTATACACACTGTGTCGGCAGAGATAGCAGGTGTAGTCACACCACAAGACTCGGCCAAGCAGGACAAAACCAAACCACAACAATGAAAGGCAATCAAAAACATTACAACCAGTAAAACCACCACAATATTTTAAAATTTTTGTAGGAATATAACTTTTTTTTGTAAATCTTATTTTATTGAGATAAGAATACAACATACCGGGTAAGCTTTGAAAGTAGGATCAAGCAATATTAGGAAAAACACTTTTTTTGCACAAGATAGACATATCAGTACACTATAGCAATGCAAATGCCTTTTTTGTTGGGTTGTAATACAAGTATAGAATATAGCTTGTAACAGCTTGTAATTAAATATTTTTTTTTTATTTATTTTTTTTAAATGGAGCAAAGCCCAGGCTTGTATGTGTAGACAGGGCACAGTTCTGGTGAAATGTGTGGTGTATCCAGGTATACATTGCAAATGAAGACCGGAAACTTTCCCAAAATGCAGGCAGAGCCAGGTATACATTGCAAATGAAGACCGGAAACTTTCCCAAAATGCAGGCAGAGCTCAGTATTTAAGTTTCCAGAGACTTGTGGCCTAGGTGAGTAGTGAAGAGGATTGATGCTTCCTAATGGGTGAGGCTAGATGCAGCATAAAGGTTTATACAGGCCTGATAGCCTAGGTGAGTAGCTGCACATGAGGGCTTCTGAGTTGGTAAAACACTGCTAGTTTTTGCTTAGAAGGTGGAGGACAGTGTAACTGTAGAGCCCACTGACTAGATTAGTCCAAATCTTGAGCAGATGTTATTAAAAGCTTGAGGAGATGAAGGCACCTGATGGTGTAGTAGTTTCCGTGTCATAATATCTCTCCCAAGAATACAGCTACCATTACAGTAGTCAGCCACTATGTGGCAGATGGAAATAAAAGTAAAATTGTTCTTTTCAATGTGTCATATAATTAACCACCCTCATTGTAGACCAAGAGTTCGTGAAGGGTAGAGTAT